CTGCCAATAAGGATTCAAAAATCCTTCTCGACCGAGACTTGGATAGGTAACTAGTCGACCTTGACGCAGTGTTGTTTATCCAAACTGAAGGCGCTCCTCGGTTGGCTGATGTTATAGCGACAGTGCTGTTTCCTTTACTTGATTTGTGCCACATGTCATTGACGACTTGTCCATTTGTGATGAGTCATATGCCACATGGAGCTTTGTGATGCAGCATTTGTATGCAACGAAATTTACATGTCTACAATAGATTTTGGAGACAAAGTAATAACATAAATTTAACTGGGGCTTAACGAATGTGATATTTTCAATAAGTTGGACACCTATTTGGAATGTTTAATTAAAAATGTTAAGACCAATTCAAAATGACACTAGAAGGTTGAGGGTTTTAGGTATTTAATTCTGAATTTAAATATATCAAACTTAACAATTCGAAATGAATCTAATGGTTAAATAATTTTTAATTATAAAATTTACATAGGCTAACATATAATTATTTTATTATTGGAATAACTATGTGGATAAAAATCAAGTGACCTTGATAAAAATTAAAAAGGATTAAAGTTTCAATCAATGCAATAGAAAATCAGGGATGGAAACTTGATTTAAATTATGTACTAATAGTGTTGAAAAATCTAATTAGTGGGCTTGAATATATATATATATATGTATGTATGTATGTATGTATGTATGTATATATATATGTATGTATGTATGTTTGTATGTATGTCACTTTTAATTTTTTATTAGCTACAACGAGAAACAATAATTTCCTCGTTAAAAGTCCCCATCTATAGAGAGAGATTTTTTTTTTCTCGTAAAATATTTTAATTTCTAGTTGAAGTGAACACAAAGTAAACTGATCAAAATTGGGTTAGTTAATCGTTAACCTATCGTAAAGCTAAGCGCACCTCCTTTTCCTTAGTGGAGATAATATTATTTGTTCAAACAAAAAATTGGGTTAGTTAAGCAAGGACCGAATAATATCCTCACTAAAAGTGTCCTATAGCGATGAATTTATTTTTTTCTTGCCCAAGATTTTTTCACTAAAAGACTACTTTATTGTAGTGAAATATTATATTTTTGTTGAGTTTAATACTTATTTAGAGGTTGCTCATTGTGCAACGTAGTTCATTCGTCCATCCTTTTATAGTAGAATATCTCTATTTGCTTTTAGTGTAGAATATCATATTAAAAGAAAAGGTCTTAATATGTGCTTCGCTCGGTAATATGAATATTTTCCCTACACTCAATGTGGCTGATCTGTTCGAGTATCACCCTTCCGATGGAGAGATTTTTCAATGTGACCAGAACTCGAGGTGGTACATCACATGTCATTATACAAATGGTAAGATATGTGTGTTAGAAAGTTAATAACTTAAAAAAATACAATTTTCCACTACTTATATAAAAACAAATGGTGTACCACTAATATTCCCCTCACAATGATAAATTTCTCCTTCCGATGGTGTACGAATCACATTTATGTATTCTTTTTGCATTCATATATCATATAGCTATATAAGGGTTGGTGTATTGTACCCATAGTTTTTCATTCACTACTACGAAACCATTTATTAGTGTCGCTATGATAACTGACAAAAAACATATATTGCTGTCAAATATTAAGTAAAATTCGATAGAAAAATGAATACAGTGGAGAATATAATAAGCGACAGAATTACCAACATCAGGAAATGATTTTCTGTCGGTTAAGGCTTTAAAACCGATATAACTTGTGTCGGATATATGCGACAATAAATACTTAACTATTGTCGAATATTATCAATTAATGTCGTTCGTAACCGCCAGGAAATTAAAAATACTATCGGATTGACATCATGTTCCTGTCGGTTCTAACCGACATAAACATTTAAAAAACAAAAAAATCTATTATAAACAACTATTTTTCGTCGTTCACAACCAACAGAAAAATATTAATATTTAAAAAAATGAATCTTTATGTTTGTTTTTTTAATGAAAGAATTAAAATAAAATAAAAATTATTAAATGAGTGAATAAAATAAACAAAGCACATAACAAACATAATATGCATTCAAATATAAATTAACCTACAATAATACTCCGCTTTTAAAACATTTTGGTATTGCTTGTATGGATGATCCGCAACGTGGAGAGTCATGTTAGAATCAGTGGCATTCTATCATAGTCTTCATTAAGAAAAATAATATTCCCCTATATTCATAAAAACATACATGTTAGTACAGATCCGAAATATAGAAGTAAAAAATGAAAATATATACTTTAATTCTTTCCCACAAAACTTCCTTATCATTTTCCAAAATCAAACGCCAATCCCTCTTCAATGGAAGATTTCTTGGATCCTTAACCTTAGAGGCTATTAATTTTGAAAATTCAATAGCATTTGCACTAACACATTTCCATGTCGAATCAAAGGAACAAAGTTGTCTCTCTTTCCACTTCGGAATAACAGTTCCACGAGTTCTACGATGAGTTGCTCCTTATTAATGAAAAACAAAAATTTGTCATGTATTTCAAAAACAACAAACAAAAAACTCACAATATAATTATTTTAAAACGTACCGTTTTCAATTTGTTCTTGGAATTCATGGCCTTCATTTTGTTCCTCCATAGAAATGGCTGAGAAAGGAAGGAGGAGTAAAAATGGCTAAGGAAGTAAAACCGGCTGAGAAAGGAAGGAATAAAAATGGGAAGGAAAAGAAGAACGGTTGGAAGTGAAAATGGGAAGGAGAAGAGGAACGACTAAAGTAAAAATGGGAAGTTGAATTATTTTAGCTTAGGATCAATACAGTGCATTTATGTATGTCAGTACAGTGCATTTATGGATGTCAGATTAGTGTCAGTTATAACCGACAAAATTAACCAAAAACCGCCACAAAATTTTCCTCCGTCAGATTTTGTGCACCATTAATTTTTTTGAATCAAAGTCGCAGGAAATTTCCGGCTCAAAATTTACAAATAATATTTATTTCAATTTCTTCATAACAATTTAAGTGAATAAAATAAACTAATTGAACACAAACATTCCTAATTTATCTTACTAATTAAATTTAGAATCTCTAAATAGATAATCTTGTGTGTTAAACAAACAATTTAAACATCAAGAAGTTCAGTAATAAAACCTGAATTATTGAAGAATTCTATCGTCGATTTATTCTTTACGTAGTCAGCCAACTAAAATAAAGCCCCTGCAAAATCAAATCAGAATATTAAAATCAGCCACGAAGTGCTTGATGAAGAAAGAAATAGAAGATGAAAAGTATGGAAGCAAAAGAAATGAAAAACTTACGGTGAGGTGAAGAGAAGAAAAAGATTGAAGATTAAGAGAAAGAAATGAGTAAAATGAAGATGAGCAAGAAGAAGAAATCTGAATGAACAACAAATTGAAAAACTTTTGGCATAAAATAATCAAATAGTAAATTTCTGTCGGTTATAACCGCCACCATTAACTTAAAAACCGCTAGAATATGTTAAAAATATTATAAAAAAAAATTCAAAAATATGGGCGGTTATAATAATTTTATGGCGATTGCATCCGACAGTAAATATCCGCCAGGAATTTATATCGAATATAACCGACATGATTTCATTGTTATCCGACACTAACTGAATGATGTGTCAGATATCTTTTATCCGACGTAATGGCTTATTAAACCGCCACCATCATCTGACACCTAAAACTAATATTGTAGTAGTGATTCTCAACTAGCAATCAACAGTTATCTTGATTTCTCTCATTGAGAGTGCTTTTATCCTTGGGTTCAAGTCTTTGCTAGTTGGATACGGCGATATCCTTCTAGTTTTTGGTTCCTTTCTACATCAGCTTCTGGTAGTTGGGCTCTTATCACTCGTTGAATTTGCATCACCTCTGCTTTCTTGGGGTTTGTTATTGTATCAACGAAAATGATTATTCTTTCATTGGTCTCACACTTAACCAGACGGCCAAATAAAAAAGAGAAGCTGACAGACTAGCTAAGGTTTGCGATTAATAGTAATTGTTCGGGTAAGTTACATAAAATTACCTTAACTATTGGGTCATTCACAGTTTCATACCCCAACTTTAAAAAATGTCAATATCATACGTCATCTACAAATTTATTACAATTTCATACCTTCCATCAGTTGTCTGTCAATTCCTCCGTGTGGCTTAAGGCGGGACCCACTCTCTATTAAAAAATTAATTAAATATTAACTAAATATTAATGAATTAAAAAATAAAAAAATAAAAAAATAAAAAAACCAAAAAAACCAAAAAAACCAAACCCACACCGATCACCCTCCTACCTTCTATCCACCGTATCCCACCCAACCCTCCTTTCTTACCTCACCACCCACTGTCAATCCACTTCACCGTCGAAGCCAATCTCTAACTACACTGTCACTCTCCTCTCCCTCATCACTCTGTCTCCCCAATTCAATTCTCCCTATACCCTTCTCTCCTCTCTCCTCTGATCCTACACCCAAATCTTCACCTCCTTCCAAATCTCATCCCAAGGTTCTGCTAAACAAAAACCAAAAATGATATGCACCCATGGATTTCTTCAAGTCAGTCTTATCTGACAACCCCATTCCCTTCGACAATCTGCACCTGAACGCCCAAAACGACGACATCAACCCTAACACGAACTGGAAACTGGGCCATAGTCCGGGTCTGAATTACGACATCGGGGCGTGGAGCTTCAGAGATCTGATTTGCAACAATGTCCGAGTCTATCATTCAGAACTACCGTCTCAATCTCAAGGAGTTCGGGTCCGGGTTGAAGAAAGAGACTGCAGTGATCTAAGAGGTGGCTTCGCGCACCATCAAGGATCTTCCTGGTTCGCTCAAGGTCGGTGCGTTGATGGCTTAGGAAAAGAGATTGAGTAGCAGTGGGGTGGTGAAGATGGAGGAAGAGAGGCGGTGGTGGGGTGGTGAAGGAAGGTTGGGGGGACATGGGTGGATGGGGAAGAACCGAAGAAGGGTTGGTTTTTTATTGGTTTATTGGTTTTTTTTTTTATATTTTTTAATATTTAATTAATTTTTTAATAGAAAATGGGTTCCGCCTCAAGCCATGTCAGTATTTAACGGAGAAATTAACAAACAACTGACGGAAGGTATGAAATTGTAATAAATTTATAGATGAGGTTTGACATTGACATTTTTTAAAGATGGGGTATGAAACTGTGACTGATCTAATAGTTGAGATAGTTTTGTGTAATTTACCCTAATTATTCTGAAATGTTTTGAGATGTCGTAATTTTATTCAGGACGCACCTTTGGAGGACAACGTAGGTTCTTCCCTATCTCCCGATATGTTCTCCATTATCAAGTGAAACAAATTAGAAGAATAAATAAATAATAAATACAAGTCTCTGCAAGCATTAAACAATAAATTCACTGTCCAAAAAATAACAAATTAAACCCAAATGATTTCATATGCCAAGATGAAGTAGACAACAATCCCGATTGGGTTAAGCGGAGCTAGCTAGCTATATGTGAACAAACTAGTAGAGATACGTAATTAGAGAGACGAGCATGAGCAGTACTACAGAAGTAGGAGAAGCAGAACTACTAGCACCACTTGAAGGTGAAGTAGGAGGCGGGGTGGGCGGAAGTTGTTGGAGGACGTTGACGGAAACCTTCAAGCCTCCAAAGCAATACCCGCCACTGCTGAGGAAGTAATATGTTTTTGCTTGTGTGAGTATGAAGACATCGCGTCCCGCACCACCTGTTATGTTTTTAATGAAGCCGGTGTCGATGCAGTTCTCATAATTTGTCTCGTTCACTTCCAGTACATTAAATCTGTGCTTTTCGTATCCAAAATCTAATAACAATTAAACATGATACCAAATTATTTCTTAAAAATAACATCCTCAATTTGTATTCTATGTTTTCATATGAATACACTGGACAGACATCTTCACACCAAATTTATCTTAACTTTTTCATAAATCAAAATTTTGACCTTGCGACCTAGCGGACTTATATATAGTCGTAACATGACATTTCTATCATTCGAATTTCAAACAATTTCGAAATTTATTTTTTCTTTTTCTATTTACAAGAGAATTGAACCCAGATACAATCCAACACTTGCTAAAATGCCTAAATTTTTAAAAATAATCATGATACAATCCAGATTATTAGGTTCCTACGTTTCGAAATTTTGTTCGACGTAAACGCCTAAAGATTTCATCAAGGCATCCACTCAAGGATAGGCTAGCTTGGGAGAAAATAAGGGAAACAAATCAAGGAATTTAATTAAGGGACGAGTAGACAAAGAAAAAAGAAAATCAATTCCGGACAAAATATAGGCGCCATGTGGTTAATTGTAGGTAGAGTAAGTTGATTTTAATGGGTAGGGATTAAATCCCTCCCTTTTATGCCAAATTTAAGGGAATAAAAAATAAAAAACCAACTAACTTGCGATATCTCCTCATTCCATAAGGATCAACAATTTCTAAATCTCGAATTGTGTGGGCCGTAAAGAATATCTAATTCTGTTTTAAGAATTCATATCGGCTCCCGAAAGCTTAGGATCGACCTAATTTAGAAGACATGTTTACTTACAAGAGCAATAATTAATCGTTTTGATTCTTGAGGTTTTTTGTGTAAAATAGGGGTAATTCTTTACTCTTCACATTTCTTATGTTTACTAACACATAAGAAATTGTGAAAGTACAAGTTTCCTCTTGAAATCCTTTAAAGTACCTAAAAATCAAAAATCAAATCAACCGCCTTTCCGTACTTCTAAATTCGCCAATTCATTCCTTTTCCAAATGTAAACGCCAAGCTTTTTCTCAAGAAAAATGACTTTAGGCCGAGAAAAAAAGAAGTTATACAAATTAAAGAAAATACAACTGTTGAATCTGTTTCTGCAGAAAAATGACCTTCTCAATTCTAAATGTTTTTGTTTTTTTAATCTGCAAACTGCAAAGCCAGAGAAGAAGGGAACATAAGGCCAAGGGATATGAGATATATAGCTTTAAGAACACCTTGTTAATTATTAAATTAATTATAGTTTTCCTAGGAAAAGATTGACGATGATGATGATGATGATATTAAGAAAGAGAGAAATAAATTTTAAAAAATAGTAGATTACTTACAGAGCCCATCACCAACGTAAAATGTTTCATGAGAAGACCAGTCTGAGAGGTTAACGCCTGGTTTCCAATTAATCTTGCTTCCTCCGACGTCATGTCTGCTGACCTTGGCCGTTGCTCTCATTGTTATCATCACCGCTACTATTGCCAGCCACACCGGCACTGCTACCCTCGATCTCAGACGAGTCAGGCCAAAACCAAAACCGAAACGCTCCATCATCACAACTCTAACACACACGCACACTCTCTCTCTTTCTCTCTCTCTCACTCTCTCTCTCTCTCTCTCTCTCTCTCTCTCTCTCTCTCTCTCTCACAACTTTGGAACGGGTTATATGCGTTATGGACTGTTTGTTTCTGGCAAAAAAAGTTGTCTTGAGCCAGTCAGTATGGGGCTGTCAATGTGTAATCTCATTTATGTGAATTGTAATTATCCTCAATCGATTGATTTAATTCCAACCAAAGAAGAAAAATTCCTTTTCTGGATTTACGAGAATTCAGTGCACCTATCACATGCAAATTTAATGCAGTTCTAATTAAAATGAAAATTCTTTTTTAATACAAACCATACACTAATTTATTAGAAGGAGAAATTAGGTTCTCATCCTTATTTTTAATACTCTATTGATTAAAATCTTATTCCTTTTCAAATTTTGATCAAGGTCCTTCGGTTTTAATAAACGCCATTAATTATTCAAAAACAAAATATTTACATGTCAAGATAATTAAGTTTTATTTTTAAATATATTCATATTCATTTAGTGTTAGAAACGTTACATTTGATATATTATATTTATGGCCAAATTTTTTTATCATATATTTCCATTTCTAGTTTGTACCCATTTTTAATTTGCAATCATTTTTAAATTGTACCGATTTTCTTTTAAATTTTAATTTGTACCCACATATTAATTTCTTTTTTAAACTTTGTTTGTACTCATAATTTTTTAACCTTTTATTTGTACCCATAAGTTATTTATAATGTACCCATTTCTTTTTTTACAAATGTACCACTTTGTTATATGTAAAATGTATTGCTATTTTTTTTGTATGCACCATTTTTTTAATGTAAAATCTATTTATTTTTTAATCTAAAATGTACCATTGTTTTTTTTAATATAAAATGTACCCTTTGTTTCTATATAAAATGTAACCACTTTTTTATGTAAATGTACCAATTTTTTATACATACGATGTAGCCAAATTTTATTATATAAATGTACTCATAAAAATAAAAAAATAAAATAAAATCCTTTTTTTTTTATATATATAATCTAGAATGTACCCATAAGCAATTATTATTATTTTATTTTATTTATCAAAACCCATAAGCAAATTTGAATAATTAAATTGGTAGTGTAAATGAATGCAAAAAAATAAAAAAATTAAAATAAAAAAAAAGGGTTGAGTCTTTATTGGTATTATTGCATCTCTTTTATTATTATGTCATTTATGTAGCAGGAGAGAGACTTCAATCAAAAATCTAAAATGCATAAGGTTTGAGTCTATAATAGTTAGAGACTAGACCTACCCTATTGACTTATTTTTCCATCCACGTTATAATTCCATTCACCTAAAAAGTTAAAAAATTGAATGTTATTTCTCCACCCACTATTATTCTTAAAATAACCTTTTATATGTATATGTATATGTATATGTATGTGTGTGCGTGTGTGTGTGTGTGTGTGTGTATACACACAATACGCATATGAACAGATGTGAACCAATCCACCATTGCAGCTCCACGTGACTTGCACTATTGACCAGAACCCTAACTAACCAAAATATTGTAAGCAAAAGTTAAATGAAAATTCAAATTAAAAACCAGAAAGATATGCAAATTTAAATGAAAAGTTTGATGGCGAAATATTCAGTTGTACGCTGGCGAGAAATTCAAATGCACACAAATAAAATTATTCTTCTTCCTCTTTAATGAGAACATAATCATCTACTTCTTTCATAGAAGCGTCATCTTTTACCTCTTAAATGAAAACGTCATCTTCTAAGTTCATTCTTTTTGCTTTCTGTGAATGAAAGGAGATGGGAAGATAAGTTAGGGTTTAAGGTAGACAAATCGTTTAATCAGCATGAGAGAGTTATCATGCCCAAACATTTAGTTTTAAAAAAAATAAAAAATAAAAGTAATAATGCAAAAGAGGGTAAGTAGTCATTTTACAAATAGACAAATTTGTAATTAAAATTTTCATAAAAGGTGAGTGGGAAGATAAGAAATTGGGACATGAATAACACCACTAAAAAGGAATTATTACTGGAACTGATGGACTTAGGTGGCAAAATATGTTGAGCTATGTACTGTTAAAGATCAACACCAACCTAATAAGCCCAATCCATTATGAAAGTCTCTTGGTGCCTTTAGATAAATGCAAGGAGATTATATCATATGCATGGGATGCATGTTAAAATATGAAAAGAATTTAGACAATTCTAGCAGAGGAAGTTAGTGGAATTAGCTAGATATTTCTAGCATGGTGTTTCTATGCGTCTCCAAGGCTCCGTCCATCCCTATACAAGGAGAAGGCATCCACCCTATTTGAACCAACCAAGAAGTCAGAAGCAAGTATGAGTGGTATTGTAAGTGCATAGTGTTTGCGAGGAGTGTGAGTGTTCTTAAGTTTGTCTCTAGAAATAAGGTAGTGTCATAACTTCTAATTTGTTTACTTGTTTTGTCTCTCTAACACTTTAATACTATAGTTTGGTACTCCAATTTTCTCAATAATTGGTATCATATTGGTTCGACCGAAGGCCAACTTTGGTGAAGCTTTTGAGAATCGTGAGGAGTTTAGTATTACGCAAGATTGTTGACTAATCTTGTTCGATGTGTCGAAATTTGGCCCGCATGATGGGTGATCTTCAAGTATTGGAGGAATTAAGATGCTCAATAAGAAAAATCACAACACTTTGGCAACGTGCATGGAGTCTTATCTACAAGGACAAGATCTTTGGGAGGTTGTCGGTGGTAATGAAATTATTCAGCTGACAAGATCTTTGGGAGGTTGTCAGTGGTAATGAAATTATTCAGCTGACAAGATCTTTGGGAGGTTGTCAGTGGTAATGAAATTATTCAGCTGGAAGAAGACGCACACTAATGGAACTTTGCGTAAGTGGAAGTTTAAAGCAGGTAAGGTCACATTCGTCCTAAAAACAACAATTGAAGAAAATATATTGGAGCACATACGAAAAGCCACAACCATCGCCGTACTCTTTTAAAAAATGAGTGATGCAAGGCTATAATTTCTTGAGAATGAGTTGTTATTAGTGGCACAACGAGACATGACAATTGCTCAATAGTTCCACAAGGTAAAGTCCATATGCAGTGAAATTTCTGAATTAGTTTTTGAATTAGACATTACTGCTGCCATTTTAGAATCCAGGATAAAAAAAATAATTATTCATAGTCTGAGACCCGAGAACCAAGGCTTCATTATTGCTGTACAAGGGTGACCAACTCAACCATCACTTGTTGAGTTTGAAAATTTGTTTGCCGATCAAGAAGCTTTGGCTTAGTAATTGGGAAGGTCTCGCCAAAAGGTGAGGAATTGCTTTACACCAAAAAAAGTTAAGGTAGCTTCAAGAAACATGTCATTGCTAGATCTAAAAGCAATGGTGACAGTTAGCAGGTCATCAAAAAGAGGGATTTCTAGGTCAATGGGAGCTCCAAAATATCATGGCAACTGTGGCCAGTCCAAAAATAATAAAATATTTCATGGCAAATGTTAGAATTATGAAAAGAAGAACGATATGGTGAAGGATGTTGGTTTAAAAGCCCGTATAAAGTAATGTCTCCACTTCCAAAAAAATTAGAACATGGAGGAATATTAGGTCGTTTGCTATTGGGGACTAGAAGTTAGCTCTCATAGTATCAAGTCTAGAATCGATTGAGTACAAGAATGATTGGTTCATGGATTAAAGCTGCTCAAACCACATGATAGTTGATGAGAAAAAGTTACAAAATATAACTGAGGATAAAAGAGGTCGTTTGGTGGTGATAGCCAACAACTCGAGGTTACTAATTGCTCATATTTGTAAGACATTAATTATGCCCAGGTTCAACACTAACCATGTGCCTCTCAAGATATAAACCATGTTTTAGGTGTGAAGAACAATCTATTTGCAGTGGTGTAGTTAGCATCACTAGGAAACTATGTCTTGTTTGGTCCACGAGATGTAAAGGATTATCGATACCTCAAGATCTCAAAGACGCCAACAATGAAGGGATGATGATTTCAGTCAATCTATGTAATATCTAGAGAGTGTGCATATGTCGACAAGACAAAGAGAAATGACACAACATATTTGTGGCACATGAGACTAGGTCATGTTAACTATCACAATTTAAGTGTGGTGATGAAGAAGTCAATGCTTAAAGGTCTTCCTCAACTTGACGTGAGAACACATACAGTCTGTGCGAGATGCTAATATGGTAAAGCTCATCAAATACCATATAAGGAATCAAAATTCAAAGCAAGAGAATAGTTGGAGCTAGTTCATTTTGATTGGTGAGCTTGTTAGGTAACCATCGATCAATAGGATGTGGTACATGGTGATGGTCATTGATGACTTTTCCAGGTATGTGTGGGTTTTCTTTATGAAAGAAAATTCAAACACATTTTCAATGTTTAAAGAGTTTAAAGACATAGTTGAATGATGTGGGAATTTATTTTCCAGGGTCGACAAACACGAATACAACAGAAGTTAGGTCATAGACTCAATACCATCCGCATTAAATCTGCACAGATGGAGCAACGATATCGCAATCATGGAGAACAAGCATGGTTAACCTCAGCGAGAACTATTAATTTGAACCATTTTGGGAAGCATCATTGCCCATCCCATAACGTCTCGCAAAAAATCCAAAAAATCTTAAGGACCTCTTAGAAACCAAAGTTTAATTGATAAATTGGTTCTCAACATCAACTGCATCTATGGAGAACAAGAGTATCTAGGTAAAACCAAAAAGTAAAGAAAATCTGCTTATAAGAAGCCTAGAATGGTAGCTTCCATCAACATATCCCTTTCCAATCGACTCCAACATCCTAATGTTCTCTTATTAAGATTTGGAAGACATATAGTCCCTCCACGACGATGCCTTGGTCATCAAGGTACAAATTTCCAACACCATAGTTAGTCATGTTCTGGTGCACAATGGCTCTGGAATCAGCATCTTCTTCAAAGATACAGCTGAAATGATGAGAATTGTAGACAATATCAGCAAGAGTAAAACCACCCTACCTACGTTTAACTGCA